ACATATAATTCAAATTTTAAAACATTTTTGGCATTTTTCTCACATGATAATTAAAAACTAGGAAGATAACCTCAAACCAAATATTAATTTATTTTAACAATAAAAAAAAAAAAATCAAAATATTTTAATTTAACCAAAATGAAAGTCCAAAAAAGGTAAAAAAAAAAATTTAGGTATCAAAAAAGTGGAAAGGTGAGTTTTTTTTTTTTTTTTTTACTTTTTGAGAATCAAAATTTGTGTTTTTTTGGTGAGAGATAAAGAAGAAGGTCCCCACAATGGGATGGACTCTTCACATACATACATACATACATACATACATACATACATACATACATACATACATTAAGAACACATCCATCTCTCTGCTGCTATAGGATAAACATATGATTCTAATGGGTTCATTATTGTTGAATCCGATTCCATCTTTTTTGGGTCATAAAATATTCATTTGGGTTTTATTTGTTTGGACTAGAGGTAAAGTTTTGTAAGACATTGCAATGAATCCACTGTAATTTGAGTTACTTTTGTGACAGATATATATCCAGTTTGGTCTTGTTTTGTGGTGTGTATTCTGTCGTACATTCAATTCCATCGGTTTAATTATCTTGTTTTTTTCCAAGTACTATAACGTTCTTTTAGGCCTTTTTAACCCACAACAACAACGCCATACCTCCCAATACAGAGATATACTTGATTGAGTGCTCGTGCTCGTGCTCGTCCTCCTGCTGCTGCGGCTGCGGGCGTGTTCAAGGCGGTGAGGCGCGCACCATGTTTGAAGAAGTAGAAGACATGGTTGATTGGTTCGAGCGAGTGTCGTCAGAAGCAGGCGTGGCTCAGTCGCGCACACTCCGCGAGATTCTGCGCCAGAATTGTGGCGTGGAGTATCTAAACCAATGGCTTGGAGATGTCAATATCCATCAAATTCCTGATGACTTTGCATTGGAATCCCTCTTCACTTCCTTAGTCCCCCTTTCTTCCCACGCTGATTTCGAGCCTTTTCTTCAACGAATCGCCGATGGTGACTCTTCCCCTTTGCTTACTCAACAACCCATTCAAACTCTCTCTTTAAGGTACCCTTCTTCAACATTTTCCCTTACATTTTATGAATTCCCTCTTTATTACAAATGATATCATTACGCCGCTGCAGTTCTGGCACCACCGAAGGCCGACAAAAGTACGTGCCCTTCACTCCACATAGTGCGCAGACTACCCTTCTCATCTTTCGTATAGCTGCTGCTTATAGATCCAGGTACCAATGCAATATGGTCAGAATCTTCATTTTTTTGAGTTACCCTTTTCTTGCAAGACATTAAAGAATGCCTTAATGACGACTAGGGTTTATCCCACGAGGGAAGGAGGCCGGATTTTGGAGTTCATTTACAGTAGTAAACAGACCAAAACCAAAGGAGGGATAACCACCGGCACAGCCACAACCCATTACTACGCCAGTGAGCAATTCAAAATCAAGCAGCTCAAAACCAAATCCTTCACTTGCAGCCCACAAGAAGTCATTTCCGGCGGTGATTACAAGCAATCCACTTACTGTCATCTCCTTCTCGGGCTGTTCTTCTCCGACCAAGTCGAGTTTGTCACCTCAACTTTCGCCTACACCATAGTCCAAGCCTTCAACGAATTGGAAGATTGTTGGCCTCAAATCTGTCACGACATTACCCACGCTACACTCTGCTCTAGAATTACTCTTCCTGAAATCCGTAAGGCTGTTTTGAACATCATTAGTCCGAACCCAATTCTTGGGGCGAAAATTCAAGCTGTTTGTGAAGAGCTTGAGAGGCAGGATTGGTTGGATTTGGTTCCGAAGCTATGGTCGAATTGTAAGTATGTTTACTCCATAATGACGGGGTCTATGCAGCCGTATTTGAAGAAATTGAGACGGTATGCGGGGGGGTTGCCGTTGGTGAGTGGGGATTATGGATCCACGGAGAGTTGGATTGGGATTAATGTTGATCCTTGTCTGCCGCCTGAAAATGTTACTTTTGCCGTTGTACCCACTTTCTCTTATTTTGAGTTCATCCCACTTTTCAGACAACATCAACAACATGATTGTGGCAGTTCCTCCGTTGCTGCCTTTGATGATTTCTTGGAAGGCCAACCCCTTCCCTTGTCTCAAGTCAAGATTGGACAGCAGTACGAACTTGTTCTCACCACTTTCACAGGTTAGTTCATTAATTATCAACACAAATCTAATCAAACGCCTTGCTTTGCTACTTCCTTGTCATTATGTCCACCTCAACTATTAGAACGAGAAGATTAGTGCTAGGAAGAGATTTTCAATCAAATTCACTTTCCTTAGAATCCTACATATAACTCTGTGTCTAGATCTGATACTATCCTTAACGATCCGACTTTTCTATGTAACGACTCTAACGGTTATGGGTAAGAAAAGTCGTTACAATTAGTATCATGATTTGGTAATCATGGATCAATGATTTGATTAGTCCTATACGGCAAGTTGAGAGAAATTTCCAACCTTCCTTATTTGGCTAAAAAATTTCCAACTTTTCTTGTCAACATGATGTTTACATCTCGCAAAGGTAAAATTTTGGGCAAAGATTTGTTATTGAAATTTAGTGGGTGAATATCAATAAAGCCTAAAAAATGTGAAAACTTTTTTACTATAGTTTACATCACATCAAATATAGAGCATTTGATAGTAAATATGTAACTACTCAAGCCTACTGCTACTTGATATTATTTTGATTTTCTCTTTCGAGCTTCCGCTCATTTAATGGTAAATATGTTCACATTTTTTACTAAAGTTTTTTGTCACAAAAAATATAGAGCATATAGATCATATGATTAACATGTAATAGCTTAAGCTTGCAGTTAGCAAATATTGTACTCAGTGTGTTTTTCATTTAAAGCTTCCCTCAAGGTTTTTAAGATGTGATGAGGTGATGCTAGGAATAGGTTTTCATATACTTTTGTTCTCGATCAATTTAGATATAGCTCAAACTGATGATTATGAAATATATGTTTGATCTTCGACCGAAAGGGGTTAATGGGTTTTGGTATTGGTCGGGATTGGCAGGACTATACAGATGCAGATTAGGAGACGTAGTAGAAGTAGCAGGGTTTCACAACAAGACACCTAAACTCAACTTTATATGCCGAAGAAAGCTTGTATTAACCGTAAACATTGACAAGAACACCGAGAAGGATCTCCAATTGGTGGTGGAAAGAGGGTCCCAGCTGCTGGCCGACCAAAGTGGAGCCGAATTAGTTGACTTCACCAGCCATGCCGACTTAACCAACCAACCAGGCCACTATGTCATCTTCTGGGAAGTCAAAGGCAATGTGGACGACGCAGTTCTTGGACGCTGCTGCTCGGAGATGGACGCTGCTTTCGTGGACTACGGCTACGTGGTCTCCAGGCGGTCGAACACCATCGGACCTCTTGAGCTAAGGATTGTGGAAAGAGGCAGTTTCAACAAGATCATGGAACATTATATTGGTAATGGAGCTGCGCTTAGCCAATTCAAGACCCCCAGATGCACTACCAATCAGGTTCTTCTTACCATTCTCAATCTCTCCACCGTCAAAGCCTTTCATAGCACTGCTTATGGCTAAGTTTGGTTATTAGTATTGTTAGTATTTCCCAATTTGGAATCAGTTTCGGATCATTTCATTCTAACCAAATTAGAGTGTAACTTACTCTTAGTCAAACACTTACTTATCATCGCATGTAACGAACCAAAGCGAATAATATTTGTTAGTAGTGGGTTTCAGTTATTACAATTAGTATAAGAGATAGACACCGAGCTGTCATATCAATTGGAGAAGAAAACAAATCATTCCTTTAAAGATTTGTTATAGAGCGAGGAAACTTCTCCCTAATAGATGCTATCGTAGTACCTTGAGAGTGAATAAAGTGTCGGTCGTCGGCGTTGTCTCGTTGTTTTTGCTTTTATCATCATAAAGCTGCCTCAACTCTTCTTCCACTGCTAGCTCTTAATGGGTTTGCTTTTGAGTTCTACTCTAATCCTCCATTTGTGCATTATTTACTGCTACACCCCTCCCCTATTCCGTCTCCTATGATATAATTATAAGGTTGAAAATGTAAATTTGTTAAATAATATTACTTTTTTTTAGTGATTTATAATTTTGTGGGAAAAATAAAAAGAAAGTGAGTGATGTCATATATATGAAAAGAAAGAGAAGGGGAGAGGGAATGAAAAGGACGGCACGTGCGAAAATTGAAGTTTGAGGTTCTAAATCCGTACTGACAAGAAAGGGGCCCACACGTTCAGAATTTGAGCGGGAACTGGGTCTGTGATTACACTGGATTCCACCTGGAAATACAAATATATAAAAATAAATAATGTCATATATATTATGTCACGTGTTTAATTAGATTGTCTTCTAGCTCCTTTTTTCTTTTCTTTAAAAGCTTACCGCCGTGACACGTCACATCATCCAATCACTTTACCCCACGTGCTTATTGTATTTTGTCCTCGTCCACTTATTCTTCCCCCCTCCGAGGCACTGTCTTTCTGTCGATCTATTCTTGAAAGTTTAAATTAATAAAATTATAAAATAAAATATTATTAAGTTCAAAATAATATCTTTAAATTATTATTGAAAATTATGTGTGTTTTAAAAACCCCCGTTGGACTTGCTCCATGAAGCCCAACCCATTATCCAATCTGAGCCCAACCCATCTTTGGTCACTGCCGCCGTTTAGTCGGAGATCCTTTTGACCGCCGTGGGATCGCCGGAGAAGAAGGTTAAAAAGTTAAACTGCCAAGGTTAAAACTCTTGACAATTTTTTTTACCATTGCCACGTGGACAGTCAAGATTTAAGATCTCTTTTTCCGACGTCCGACAACAGTTTTAAAGCTCCAGCTGTATTTCGACGTTGACCTTTATAATTATATTTAAATCGGACGGTGGAGCTTTAAAAGTTTCAACCTACAACACACTTCCCGCGTTCCATTCCTCCCTTATAAATACGCTCACTTTACTTCACCCACTGTCATTCCCAACTAACCCATCGAACCAGCTTTCTACTGAAGAACTCCATGGTTTGCTTTTGCTTTCTGGTGGATCAGAAGCGGAGGATACAGCGGAGTAGGCCGGCTCCTGGAATTTGCTCCAGGTGCGGCGGCGGAGCCAGCGTAGCCGACATGAAAACCGCCACCAGATTCTGTCACGTCCCATTTTACTGGAAATCCTGGAGAGCCCTCATCTGTACCTTTTGTGGATCTGTTCTTCGATCCTATCGCTAATTTTTTTTTTTTTTTCTTCATTTTCTTTATGTTCTTCATCAAATGTAGTCTGGAATTGTTCATCTTCATGCTCGATGAATTATTATTATAAACATTCAAAAAGAAAGTAAAAGAACCAATCAAGATTACACAGAATGTTTAAATCACATACTTTGAAGATCAAAACATTGAAATTTGAGATATACAAATAGATGAAATGTAAATCTCAAGATTACCCAGAAAGCAATTTGAGGTACCTTTGAATTATGGCCTCCTGCGAGAGGTCTGTGAAGTATCCTTCCCCCACAGCTAACCACTCGTTTTGTGCAAGCCTTTCAACTTCCAGCTGCACCATTTTACCGCTCACTTTAGTTGGTTCAAGCAAATTACAAGCCACCTCGATTACGCCTTCATCATGAGCAAGAGCCATTGCTTGAACAGATGGAAGCCCGCCTCCTCGCTCGCTCACTTGCTTCGAGATTTTACGAGCAGCAGCGATGTTGGTAGTGAAAATGGGGACATTGTAGTTATCAACCCACTTTGTTGCTCCAATTACCACAACGCCTGTTGCTTTACTTGCTTTAGCTGGACCCTCATCTGGGTTCACTGGCAATGGATCTGATTGCAGCCCTCCAGCCCATTGTAAGCCATCGGAATTTGGCTTGAAATAGCCAAGGTCTCTTCTGATCGTGGCTAGTTTCCTTCCCTCTTCATGAGCTGCTCCGTAGAGAAATGTTGGGACTGCAGGCTATGGTTTAGATCATTAGCACCACATGAGGGATGATGATGATACCACAGAGCAATTGAAACCATGAAACTCTTAGAGAACAAGTACAAACATGATATAACGTATGAGCATATGAACGCTGCATTTAAGAAGCCCTTGAGAGATGTTTAGGGAATTTCAGAGCAGAAGTTTATGCCATCACACAAGCCCACTCGCACATTTAGCGCATGTTGTCCTCTTTGAGTTTTCTCTTTCGGACTTCCCCTAAAAGTTTTTAAAATGCGTCCGTTAAGAGAGAGATTTACACACCCTCATAAAAAATGTTTCGTTCTCCTCCCCAATTGATGTGGGATCTCACAATCCACCCCCTTCGAGGTCCAGCGTCCTCGCTGACACTCGTTCCCTTCTCTAATCGATGTGGAACCCCCAATCCACTCCCCTTCGAGGCACAGCATCCTTGCTAGCACACCGCATCATGTCCCACCCCCTTTGAGGCTCAGCCTCCTCGCTGACACATCGCGCCGGTGTCCGGCTCTAATACCATTTGTGACAGTCCTAGCCTACCATTAGCAGATATTGTCCCTTTTGAATTTTTCCTTACGAGCTTCCACTCAAGGTTTTAAAAACGTGTTTGCCAGGAAGAGGTTTCCACATCCGTATAAAGAATGTTTCGTTCTCTTCCCCAACCAGCATGGGATCTCAAAATATATTAATGTAAATGCCTATAAAGTTAGCATTCCTCCCTTTACACAGCCAAGAGCGTAACATTGTGGTGGTATGATGTTAAAAGAAGTGCAAACCTTGTAGACCACATCCAACATCAGCTGCCAGAGACCTTGCAATTATAGCAGCATCATCCAAGGAAGCAGAAGCCAAGGGATGAAAGCATATGTGATCCACAACTCCGAGTCGAGGGTGGCTGCCACAATGCGAGTCGAAGTTGATCGACGAAAATGCAGCCTTAATCATGTTCAGGACAGCACTTTTGAGGGAACATGACTTTCCAGATGGCTTTAATGGGAGATTGGAAACAAGGGTATATCCAACTCTGTTGTAAACCTCATCTGTGAACTTGTTGATAATGGGTGCATCAGGGAAGAGCTTGGCAGCACGTTCAATTGACTCCAGCGCAACCTTGTTTCTGCTTTCAGAAATGTAAACCTTGCAGCAAGCAAGAACCAATTTTGACATTTCTCTCTTTGCTGCAGCACACTGGCTGCACAAAATGATAAGAATATGTAACATTTAGTAGTCAGAAGATGCAGATTTATGTGTATAATATATAAGACCAAACAATCATCTAACAAACTCAAAGATTCCACCAATCTTCACAAAAATCAAATCAAAACTCAATATCTTTTCCAACTGAAGCCGATTTGGGATAGTCATTACACTCCGATTTGACACCCAAAATGGCGCTAATCGCTTTCAATCTCTACTACAAACCCGAATCAGAAACTGTTTCTGTTCGATTCGAATTGCAGAATTCCACGCGTCCACACACCCTCGATAGAATCCTAGTTGCTGGCCGACCTCGAAACCAGCTTTGAGGCCACCCACTTTGTCTCTTCTTTGCCAGCGTCTAGGCCAGCTTTATAGGCCTCGGCATAGCCATCCTTCAAGTGGGCTTCTTCAAAATTGAGGGAAGAATCGAAGATATCGTATTTGAAAACAGAATTAACGAGAAAAGAAGAAACTTTTTTGTTTATAAATTTTACCTGTCAACTGCTGGGTGGCTTCAATTTTGGCGAAGCGAGGGTGTTGTCCACGACGGATGTTCTGTTCACCCAATCCTAAAGAAACTCCATTCTTGAGGCATCGAAATATCCGGAAAGTCGCCAAATTGGAGAGCTTTTTGGTGGGCTTGAAAGGTGGGAAGCTCGGAGGCTTTCAGAGTAAGCCCACCCATCGAAATGCAAAAGGCCGATGTACTGTCCACGTTATATAACCTTATTTTTCTTTGTTAAAATATTATTTTAGTGCATGTATTTTGAATTTAATTTAATTTTAATTCTTACACCATCTAGTTTATCGTTGATTTTTCTCGGCGGCAGAAGCAAGAAGCAGAGAAAGCCTTGTGCTTTGATGTGAGATTCCATAGTAGTTGGAGATCGAGAACCATTTTATAAAGGTGATAAGACATCTCTTTAATACGCACGAGGAAAAACTCAGAGAAAAAATCTTCAAGGAAATAATATTTGTTAACGATGAGATGAGCTTAGTAACAATATTTGTTGACGAGCTTAGGTTGTTATAAATATTATTTAGAGCATGACATTGGGTAGTGTGTCAATGAGAATGCTCGAACCCCTAGGTGGATTGTAAATTTCACATCATTTGGAGAGAGGAACAAAACATTATAAGGGTGTGAATGGTGAATTTCACATCACTTGGGAGAGGGGGAACAAAACATTGGGTGCGAAAATCTCTCTCAGAAAACTCAAAAAAACTCAAAAAAGACAATATTTGAAGTATCTGCTAGTAGTGGGCTCATAAGGGTGTGAAAAACCTTTCTAAGAGAGACATCTTAAAATCGTGAATCTGACAGAGATAAGATCAAAGAAGACAATATTAAGATCTCCATTCCTAGCCATTCCTCTTCCAGGACAATTCTCGTATCTATCTTCCATGCATGCCGCCTTATTCCTCCATCTCCGATATAATTGAACTCATTCTATATTATTCTTGTTTTGGATGAACAGGGGAAAAAATATCAATAACTGATGAAGAACAACGAAGACATGAAAGCATCGCTGTACTCGCTCCGAACCCAGAAAATGGAGCTTGATAGGAGGTTAATGGAGTTGCAATCCTGACGTTCTAGTTGTGATCAAGAGTTATTTTAATCACCCCAAAGAAAGCAATTAACTGAGTTTTTTAACTCAAAGATGCCTTTGATCAATTACAAACTCGGAACCACAAGTGCCCAAATTCAATGAATGAGTTGTTGGGGCTTAAATATCTGTAAAATCGTATTATTAGATATAGGACACTTCGGTGCATGAAATACTCAAAATGTCAAGAAGAAGCTACAAGAAAGGATCATAAACTAGTCTGAGAAACTATTCCAGATTGAAATGAAATCCACAGACGCCTGAGGTCCAAGGAAATACATTATTACGGGGAGTACTTCAGAACAATTGGAAAATTCTCCACAGCTCAGCTCATTGTGATGCGTCCGCAAGTTTCTGAAAACAAAGGCCAATAAATTAAACTTGCTGTGAAAAAATACATGTGCAAGTTTGATTTGATTACGATTGAGATCTAGGTTTGTATTGCACCAGCTACATCCTGCTACCAGTTCCAAATACCCCATGTATTAAGATCCAAATGATCCACATTAAACTAAAACAATGAAATGTAATTAAAAGAGAAAAATCAGGAAAATGCTTTTCATTATCCAGCCGAGCCCCGAGATAGTGATTGTACTACTCAACATTCGCCTGGTACAATTACCCGAGTCTCACCAAGAAGGCGACATAAGGAGCCTCAAAGTGTAATAATCTAATTTCCTTGAACAAAAATAAGTCCTAGAACTCACATTATGTCTTCGTGTATTACAGAACATTCCGGGAGAGTTCAACATTTTCCTATTTCTAACACTTCATGAACAATTACCAAATGGATAAACTTACAATGAAAGTACAACCAAGAAAAGGAGTTAATCTTGTAAAATAAGAGGCATAAACAAATTGTTCTAAGAAGTTAATCCCGTAAAAGAGTCAAAACCAATCAATGACTGCCGAATAATATTCATTTAAAAGCACCTGTAAATACTTGCAAGTGTTTAGGTATAATAAGCGCACAGAAGATAAGAGCAGAAGTACCTCATCCTTCTTTCCCTTGCCCCTGGTAAAGAACTTGTAACCTCCGAAAAAGAGTAGGCCCCATCCCGATAATGAGACGATCACAAACTGCAAATTTCAGAACAAGTTCAATTTGCTTATTAGTAAATATTGTTTGAAAGAGTCAGGAATAAACAACTAAATAAAAATAAAGCACAAGTATGATAATCAGGTCATTGTTTATTTATTATCCACGTCAAGATGAACACTTGGGGAGAAGAGGGCATTCTATATAAGACTCATAAGTTTCAAAGCAAAAAAAAAAAAAAAAAAAAAAAAAAAAAGCTATTTAATTTAAGGTAGTAGAATTTTCAGACTTCAAATCCTAAGCAAAGCAAAGAGAACAATTAATATGATGACCCGAACAACTGCATTTAGCTCTAAATCGAACACAAAATTTCCAATTTGTAGCTAAATTAATAAGACTAATCTCATACAACACTACAAGTAGATGAGACTATATTAAATATGGAGTACGAAAAAGAACACTTAAACAACAAAATCAAGTACTTTGTCGAGTAGGTCACAAATTTGAGATATTCTGATTGAAAGTCTAAAAAAGTTATCATGTTTGTTAGTCTGGTTCTTAAATCCTCACTACTTGATGATAGGAAATAGGAAGAACAGAAAGGAAAAAGAAAAAGAAAAAAAAAAAAGATAGTGGTTTCATATGCAAAACTAAGTCTCACATGCTCTTCCTTCCATTTAGATGGGCTCATGGGATCTGCCCAACAGTTAACCTTCGGTGGTCCATGGTGGTCTGCAAATATCAATAAAGAGGGTCAAACTTACAAGCAAAATGATCGTTTGTTCATCTTTTGATGTTCCTTTCTCTTCCCTTAATGTTTGATTATTCGCTCATCTTTCTCCCAACACAAACATTACGAAAGGAAATACAAAAGAATTTCAAATGCATGTATAGAGTGTATTCTTGTAAACAAAGCCTGAAAATTAAGTTTTAAAGAAAACTATATAGCCCCGTATGAGTACTTTACTAATCATAAGCTGATTAACTTGTGCGCAGGTGGTTTTCTATGTTCCATTCAGTACGCAGGTTATTCTTTAGAAATAACTGTGTTTTTGGTGATGATATATCCTTCAAATTAGTAAACTATTCTTTTGCAAATTATAAATGCTTTTAAAACATAACAATGATCTTCATCAAATACTCAACGACGTGTGGGATGCAGGTAATATATGATAATTGCAAATCAAAAGCAACATTTTCCTTTTCTTATTTTAATTATCCCAGATGCAGTGTCCTCCGTTTCCTAATTGAGTTAAGTTATCAAAGTTGAGTATATTTCATACCCATTTCGATTCTAGACAACAACCCTCGCTATCAAAGAATAATAGTGAAATCTCCTCTTATAAAATCTGGGTTCTCTAATTAGGTAAAATAAATTGGCACCTTCTCAAGATCCCTCGATCAATGCCTACCTTAGAAATGATAAAGAGCCAAAAACAGAACTTGGGGAAAAATATATGTAACAACGATTCCCATTTCGAAATGAAACTCCAAGAAATCCAGAGATCAAAGATTAGTGAACGAAACCGAAACTGGAATAAGTCCAAGCAGATGATCTGAATTAATAAAAACGAGATCGGGAGATGAAACCTACCGGCAGCGCCAGCGAGACCGCGCCTTTGAATAAGAGTGGCAGCTGACTGAGGAGAGGAGACTCGAGTTAGGGCTCTGGCTTGACGAGCTGCGGCAGCCGCTAAGGTAGCCATGGATTCAGATTTTCTTCCCTACAGAGAGAACGAGAGATCAATGACGCTGATACGGCGGAGCGGAAGCTAGAAATAGAGACCCGAACGCCTAAACACGATGACAAGCAGAAGTAAACGACGTCGCATTAAGCCTCTTCGCTTTCTCTCTCTTTATTTATTATTTTTTTTCTATTGCTTTTTCTCCCGTTCTAATTTCTATATTTTTTTAGTTCAATCACCTATCAAAATTTAATAAAAATAAATAAGCTTATTTTGACTTTAATTCAGAGATTCAAATAATCGAAATATATATATATATATATAAAATCCGAATAGAAATAACTAAAAATAATCGGACAAAATATAGATGTAATTATAACTATTTTAATTAATCATCTTGAATTTAATGGGCGGAGCTATTTGCCTGGTTTAAATTATTTCAAATAATAATAATAAAAACTAACAATTTTTTAAATATATTTAATAAAAATGTAAATAATTTGAAATTTTAAATGTTTATTTGATTATTAAAATTTTAAAAAAAAAAATTGTTTAATAAATTTATGAATTTTCATGTTTGTATTAAATAACAAATGTCTCGATTTTATTTAAAGTTTAGGTTTATATTTAAGATAATAATTGATACCATTATTTTTTAATTAAAAATTAATAATAATTGTAATAGTCTTGATTCGTTACGAATCACTGTTAACCTCACAATTTTAAACCATGGTCCATTACGTATCACTGTCAAGAACGATGTCCACGTGAACGATCGAAAAAATGTTTTAGTTTCCTCGTGTTCTTGCTAGCACACCATTCGAGACTTGACTCTTATATCATTCGTAGGAGCCTAAGCTCACCTCTAACGGATGTTCCCTGTAGGCTTTTCTGTTGGGGTTTCCCTCGAAAAGAGTTAAATAGTATGTTAAGAAGAGGTTTCGACATTCCTTTGAGAAATGTAAGCTCACCTCTAGCATATGTTCTATGTAGGCTTTCATTTTTGGTCTTCCATGAAGGAGTCGAGTAGAGTTAATGTCTTACCAAATACTCGACTCGGTTATTTAAATAAAAAAAAAAAACAAAAATATTAGCCCAAATTAATTAGTTTAAGCTGAATGAATAGTGTTTACATGAGCAGCCATTTCATCCAGAGGCCGGCAGTCACTGCTGTACCGATATCCTCAATTGGTAGCTTCTTCTTGAGAGTTGAACAAAATGGAATAGCCAAAACCCGGATGCATTTATTCATTACATAGCTTAACTAACGAGAGACGTAATCAGAATACTGTACGCATATCAATCATATCAATCAAAATCAATGCTAAAAAGCAAGTCATTC